AACAAAACAGAGAAAATCTCTAAAATAACAGTAAATTGTTTAAAACACTACAATTAAAATTCACATTAAAAAATATTAAATAATGTTGTGGTTTCACAGCGTACTTCCCCACATTTCATCAAGCTACAGATAATAACTTAAAAAAACACAGAAAAAAAAGAGAAAGTATTAATTTACACAGAGACAAAAACATAAAAAAGCCAAACTGGCCCAACTGTAAATAATGTTCACATCACAAACCTGAATTATGACAAATAGTGATATTTTTTTAGATTGACTGTAAATGTACATAACTTTTATTACTGTATTCAAATCTGTCTTTTTTTAAACAAATATTTGTCATTTCCTAAAAGTTATTTATATTAAGGATTGAAAAGGGTTGTTATTTATTAGATTTTCCCTTTTCTGTTAAATTATGGTTAATGTCTCATAAAATCACAGAAATAAAAATCTGGTCTAAAACTGGAAATAATGTCTGCATCAAAAAAAAAAAAAAAGGGTGTTTTTAGTAATTTGCGCTTTTACAGTGTGTGGCAGTAAAACTACTCTTTTACTGCATTCAAATAGGCTAAAATATATGATTGTTTTACGGATGTTTGCTTTTATTTTCAATGTAAAATCACACTTTTGTTTGTTTGTTTTTTTAAAAAACTTTTATTTAATCCAGCAAAAAAATAGAATTATTTTACAGGCATGTGATGGTGTTCTAAGAAAAATGATGTATATTAAGGATTCTGTCACCTGTCAAACGGCTCCAGCTGCAGATTTATTGAAATCTTCTGCTGATCTTGTGAGTTCCTGAGCAGACGGATCCACAGCAGACCCTCCGGTCCACCGGGGACCCTCATGTCCTCACAAACACGTGTCACCTACGACACACACGCACGCGCCCGTGCGCGCGCAGCACACCTCCTCCTGCCTCCTCGCGCTCGCTCAGAGCTGCTCAGACGTGAGGGAAGAATGGCGGCTCCTCGGACTTTCTTCATCTCTCTCTGCGGCTTGTTTCTGCTCCTGTATTTCTCCTGTGGATCTACGACCTCCGGCAGCAGGAGGGCGAACCAGGAGCGATGCGGCTTCAAGGTAAAAACACGCAAAAACTAATTTTGGTCGTCTCGTTTTTTTTTGCGACGGTTCTCACGCAACAGCTCCGTCGTCTCCCAAAAAAAAGTTCACTTTTTGGAGACGGTCCGTGTTTTCTCTGTTCTGCTGTAAATGTGAAATCAGTCTTTTTTTTCTGTCAGCGGGCTGAATGTATAAATGTAACCTGAAGGTGCAGTTTAGCTCCAACCGTGTGCACTCGGCGGTGTTTTAACGCTCAGGTTACCTTCCTTACCTGTCCGTCCGTCCGCTGCGTCTCCGCTTAGCTGCGCTTTTACGTAACGTCGCAAACTCTTCTGTAAAAAGCGCTGATTTTAAGATAACTCGCTTTAGTGTGAACCTGCAGACTCAAGATAGCTGATTTATTTCTGTTTTGGTGTCTTACTGAATTCGGCACACAGCTCAGTAAAGTGTGATCTCCTTTAGCTGTTCCACACCACTCCTCATCTCCCACATCCACGCCGCAAACACGCACCTTTATGGGGAAAGTGACTGTTGATTAGGTTTGGAAAAATAATTATTACACTTGACTCGTAAGATAAGAAAAAACGACAACAATGTCCCTAAAATCAAATTTCTCACGCTGCTTTCCAACTCTCCCTGCGTGGAGGTGCAGACTCGTCGTTCTCCGCTTTTAACCAAACTCCTTTAAAGAACATGCTAATTTTGAGTTTCGTCCTCTCGCAGCAAATCGTAGTGTCTTTAAAGCATTTTTTCTGTATGTGGCATATTTTTAAAATAAATTCGGCATATGTGATTTACTAAATAACACATGAATTAAAGGTACACTCCAACAGCCAGGGTGGGAGGTGATCCGTGCAGGCTGAACAAAGCCAGGAATCAGGGCTGTTGTGTTTTAGGTGAATTGCAGGTAGTAAAGCCGATTTCCTGCCTTTTGTGTGATCTGGGGAAAGCATTTGTTGTGGAAAACAAGAGTACTTGAAGTGAGCCATTGCTTTCACACTCCTGTCCTGCTTGTTTTTGACCACCTGTGGTCTGCAAAGACAAAAACTCTGAATTTTAAAGCAGTTGAGCCTCACAATTGAAACTTTAAATGCATTCAGGTACCAGAAGACTTGAGCATTCATCCTCAGTATTCATGTGTCTCACTCAAACAGGTTTTTAACAGATGATGAGGAAGATTAGATGCTTTTATAATCCGTCTTTCCTCTTAACGAGAGTCTTTAACATCTCTGATGAGACATAGAAATGCTGTCATGGTTTAATTGTTGGTATCAGATCTCAGTTTATTGTGTTTGTGTCGTATTTACAAGTTAGTAAAAGCACATATGAAGTTGTCTTCGCAGCTGGACGTGGTGTTGAGTAGTTTTAACCCGTTGGCAGATTGTCTTTGATGAAACTGTAGATTATTTTTCTTCCAAGTTTATTTTTTTAAAGTAATCATTTTAATCTTTTTTTTTAGTTTTTTTTTTTTTTTTTTTTGTCAGATAATCAGATATTTAGTTATGATAAGAAATGACAAAGAACAGCAGTAGGGAAGGTAAAGCCACAGCATTGTTGGCTTTGTTTTAAAAGAAATACTGAATATTTTTAATAGTTGCAATACTCTGTGGATCAGTTAATAGACTACTAATTACATTATAGAATATTCCTCATAGGTTTTTGGTCTGATTTTTACTTTTTAATGTTCACAAAGTTTGGAATATGATTTTGTCTTCTGTGTGGAGAGGAGATGGATGTGATGGAGTGAGTGCAGACGCTCCACAGGTTTTAATTTTCCCATGTTGATAGATGACTCCTACCTGCCTTTGATGCTCGGTGTGTGTGTGTGTGTCTGTGTCCGTGTGTCTGTGTGTGTGTGTGTTATCCTGGTTTCCTCTCTCTGGCTTTGAAGTGTTTTCTACAGGAAGCTTCACACTGTTTACTCTGCTGAAACATTCCTTCCTGCAACCCCACCCCCCTGAAAGAGACACACACACACACACACACACACACACACACACACACACGGGCACGCTCGTTCTCTCTCTTTGCCACCTCCCCCCCCTCTCTCCTGCTTCCTCTCCTTTCAGAAACACACACACACATCAAAGACTGCTGGGTGGGGGTGTGAAGACCTGCTATTCTACAGGTGTGAGGTTATTAGAGCTGTGTGTGTGTTTCTGTGTGTGTGTGTTTCTCTGTGTGTGTGTGTGTGTGGTAATTTTACATGCCAGCAACATGCATGTCACATGCTGTGGACTGTATTATATTGATAAGTATGTTAATGAGGTGGATGCGACCCAGTGATAGTGTAGATGTAGAAGCTTCATCAGAGCAGGACTGATGGCAGAACTGCATTACATGTTTCCTAATAAAGTGCTTTTTGAGTGCGTATAGATTATTGATTGATTGATTTAACGATTGGCCGGACAAAATTCACAGTATTTAATTCAGCAAATGAGCTGCAGTCTCCCACAGTAATTAACTGTGACGTTTTTTACCTCTTCAATTAGTTTGGTATTAAAATAATCCTCATACCTGATCTACATGATGGATCAATGTAGTCCGGCTGCTCGAATCAGCTGGAACAGATATCCTCAAATACTGTCGTAGCAACTTTATCAGCCCAGGAAACCTTGTCAGTATTTACTGCCACCTTTAAACTGTATTTATACTCGGAGCAGAGCGTCACCGATACACTTCATCACTTCACTGTTGTTGGAAGAATGCAATCAGAGTCCTGCTGCTCCTTAGCTTTAGCAGCGTTAGCAGCTACTCTGCTGACAGACACTCAGCTCCGGGCCTCGTTAGTGTTTGAAAATCCCACTTTGGCATTTCTGACATGCATTCTTCTTCTGCTTGATTGGTGACTATTTTATAATTGGTTAAATTATTTGGAGTTCACTCTCAGCAGCCTTATTTCTGAATGTCTGCTTTGTCTTCTAAATGAGCTCTAATAATAATTCATCGTACTTGTTCTTTGTACTGGAGCTGTTTTTTTCACCTTTATCTTTTTCATTCCATACATTCTTCTTCTAGTCAAAGGTCGGCCTACATTACCCACAATCCTCAGAGCTTCAGGAAAAACTAGCCTGCTTTCTCCTTTTGCTCCCACTCAGTGAGATTCTCGTAGCAGCTGATTTTGTCTCGAGCTGTTCGCCTTACTCAGAGATGAGGAGCAGCTAATTTCTTTTTAATTCCACTTGCTCTGATTTATTTAAAGTTTCAAACATGCCCATATCAGATCACTTCATTGGCTCGAACATTTTTTTATTCACATGTATTTGTTCTCACGGCAGACTTTATTGTGTAAAATGAATATAATTCATTGAATTGTCAGATTTCTCCTCAAGAAATGTTGGTGTGTTTAAAAACAGGATTCACACAATGTCTCAACCTGATGGAGGAAGTTCTCTTTTTTCCTGGCTGTGTCAGAAATCAGGTTCCTGCAGAATGCCAGAGTGATAGATGAGTTAGGTCCATGTACATTCTCTCTCTGGTTAAACACATCTGCTGAAGCCATCACATCTGTCTCAGCGGAGGAAATCATTCAGCTTCCTCCTCTTTCTGTCCCGTTCTGGATTCTTCATCCTTCTCTCTCTCTCTCTCTCTCTCTCTCTCTCACCCTGCCATCATTTTAAATCAGGTTTCCACTCTGTAACCATGTCACGTATCCCATCATCCTCCCGGGCGTCGGTGTGTTTTTGGCATCAGAGAGCCTCAGAGGGCGTCACGGCCGGGTGGGCGTCCGATGTGAAACACGTGTGTTTTCTGTTTTTTTGGCAACTGAAACAGGCAGAAGGTGCAGGATGGATGCTGGAACTCCACCTCTTACATAAAACATCTCTGGGAAATATTTCTTATTGTTTGCCTCCAAGGATTTCTTTGGAAAAAATGAGTTTTACAACTTTCCTTTCAGGAAATGTCCTAAACAGTGCCGTGCAGAAGCATTAGGCACTTAATGGAAAGTGAGGATGCTTTAGAAGTGATGCCATGAATAGATTTTATTCATCAGTTACCTTCAAAGTGCAGCAAAGAGAATAAAAAAGTAAATTAAATCAATACTTGCCTTTTAAACAGCAACAGACTTTCTACATGTTTGCTGTTCATACTTTCTGAGTAGGATGTTCTATGCACACAATTTAGTTGTAATTCAGGATGAATACAACCAAAGACAGACTCATTTCTTACCCATACATCTGTATTTTCAGCTCAAAGTCACTTTGCAGGTGTGTTTTCTTGAGAATGTCTTTTTGTATTTCCAAGGTTTTAGCAGCCAGCAGTTAGTGTTGGTGCTGTATTTGCTATCTAACATTAACTGGATGTAGGAGCAGCATGCAGCGTCTGAAAAGTCATGTTCTCATGTTGGGGTCCACAGTTTTATCCCAACTGTCAGTGAAACCTAGTCGGCTATGAGATGAATCACTGACTTTTTTGTCTTTGTGCAAACATACATGACATTAACTCTGAATGAAGATTTCTGTGGGTTGCATATTTGTGCCCTCATCTTTGTTTTTCGCTCGTGGCTGCATCCACCTCTGACCGTCTCAGGTGTTAACAGGTGGTCACATGACTCTGCACAGTGTTGTTTAGTTACCAGCAACGCTTCTGTTCTTTCAGTGGAAGTCAGGATTTGTCCTGCTCCGGTCTCTGTAACGAGAGAGTCTTTTAAAGCACAACCGCTCACAGCGGGAGGAAGTAGCTCTTCCTGGGTGAGGAGGGGGAAGTGTGATGAAGTAGAGGGGTGGGGGGTCATTGAGGGGCAGTCATGCAGGAGGAGGACGCTGCAGGTTTTGTTCCTGTGGTGGGAAATCTCTGGTTGGCTGCTCCTGAACACACGCAGAGTTTTTCTCAGAGTTTGCATTGTTGCACCTCACTTTTGTTTCCAGCTTTTTTTTTTCTTTTCTTTTTTTTTTTTCTGGATTTGCTGCAGAGTCAAGATCACACATGATTGTATGTTTGTGTTCTGCAGCTGATCAGTCAACGGTGAAAATCAAAGGTGCTCTTCATCACGGGCATAGATTTCAAGTGAGCATTGG